GAAGGACTTGAAAAGATGAACCAATTTGGTTGAAAAACATCAAAATTTATGCATCATTTCGCTATTTTTTAAAAATATTTTTAATACAAAGAAGAGTTGAGAATCACTTTTGGATGTGGTGTGGTTGTGGGCACGAGTGCATGGGAATGGGACATTTCGCACTAACTTTTCATTAGATCTCCAGTAACAGATGTTCATTACGATCTCCAGACATAAGGAAAAAAGACAGGGTGTTCGGAATCAGATGTACAGGAGTTCGAAATGGCAAAATCACTCAAAAATAAAAAAACAGGGTGTTCGTAATGAAAGTTGTCCAAGACAATAATCATTTCCGAACACCTGGACACATGTCTGGAGTTTGGAATGACTGAGTGCGAACTGTCCGCGTCCTGAGTGTGTTATTCTATTTACTTGCATTCACCTACACTTATATCCACGCCCACACCCACACTAGGAGTGGCACTTTATCTTTACTTTACTTTACTGGATAAAGTAAAGTAACCGTACTTTATCCGAAAAGTAAAGTAAAGTAAAGTGAAGTACCTCTTACTTTACAGAAAAAGTTAGATAAAGTAATATAAGATAAAATATAGCATGTAGTTGATGATTATTGGTTTATTAGTTCATTATCACATATTAAGCACATTCTAATATGTCAAGAGTTGCGTCCAAATACTGACCGAAAGCTCCGAATAATCTGAACATATTTTTAATATCTTGAGAACCAGCATTGAGCCCTCACTATTTTTCAAAATTTTATTTTCTACTTTATCACAACTCAATTTTTCTTACCATAGGTTCCATTGAGGTGTCGAAAAACAAAGTCGTATCGCTGTCCCACAACAAATCTTTATAATTCAATAGTATCAAGTGAGCTAATTACAAATATTTCATTTGTTGTCAAAAATACTTAGGTAATAAGAAAGATAGAAAGGATCCCCTGAAAGCCTTAAAAACTAGCTTATGACCAGAAACTTCATTAAAATACGGCTTTGTTTCGTCGACAACAGATTAATTTGACAAAGAATTCTTTTCTCTACCAGCAACTATGAGAACATGTTGAATATTCGATTCATTCTATGGATGATTGAAAATACCGTCCCCATTAGGTCTGATTATCTCTCATAGTATTTTGTCAGCGTTACAAAATCAGAGTTTCTACAGGTGTCGTGGCAATATTTCTTTACCAAGAGTGCAACTAAATGTGCTCTTTCTAGTGACAATGTTTTCCACGTGAAAATTCATATCTAGTAAAGTACTTTTGCTCACAATCCTATTCTTGAGACCTTCTTTGCCCCCTCACCCTCTCCTTTTTGACTAATATTTTATGGTTTTTGAATAGAAAAATCCCATTTGACTCCACAAAAGTTTCATGTCTGAACTTAAGACAGAAAACTGAGTAGGGCTATATGGACAGAGATTCCCACAGAATTGGTTTGATATGAGTACATTTTGATTTAGGGCTTCCATTGGTTAGCCCTAACCCAGAGCGATGGCTTGATGAGACCATTTACAATGGCGGAAAAAAGTAGCCGTCCCCCTCCCAAAGTGATATTATATTCCATGATTTCGAACTGATCTTTTGCGGGAATGTCGGCCTCACTGAACACTGATCGTAAACACCATCACGCCCTCGATTGATTGGCGTTTACTGAAGATATCACTTGTACATCGTCATCACTTTATCAAGATCATATCTCTATCATTTTTTGACATTCACTTTCTCGCAACCCGTCATTCAAAAGTTCAGGGATGCATATATCATTAGTAAAATTTTGATGAGAAATAGTGGAGATTCGAAGTTCGCACTGAAAACTTCTACCAAGTAGAAAATCCTTTTTTTCAGTTTGAAATTGATAATTTGAGCTCGAATTGATCAAGGCAACTTAATTTTCAGCAATGACTCATTATCGACCCACAAGTTTGTGATAAAATATTGAGAGCCATAGCTCTATGCATAGCTGAGACAGAACTATTGAAAGAGTTTACCATGCCACAGCTAGTCTATCAATGGAGCTACGGTATTATGCAGTGAGCTTTGAACACAAGCAACTAGGTATGCAGGGAGACAACTAGCACCAAAAAAACTCAAAAATTCATTTTAGTAGGACGAAACTGTGAACGAAAAGTTTTTAAGAAGGTATTTCGCATTAATGTCTTCAATCCCCTCCCCCTGGTAGCTTATCTATGCACGATACACTTTTCTGTTACGAAGCACGTCACCTAAAAACCATTTTGCTGACTTCAGAGAATTTCTCCTTCATGGAATCAGTCTTTTGTGCACACCCTCTGAATTATTAAGACCAAAAGAGGTATTTCCGGAAAGATGAGCGTAAATTCACCAGTATTTGACAGTTCTACTAGATTAACGACAGTATTAACGGTTTATTGAAGACATGGAGCAAAAATATCATCTCAGAAGCTTTGAATTCGCAGTTTTGCCATCCTAAAATGAAGTTTTCCTTTTTTTGGTGCTATTTGTCGTCTTTTTATATAGTTGCTTGAGCTGTCAAAGGTCATCACACAATACCGTAGTTCCATTTGAAGGCAAAGTGTGGTGGGGTGAATTCTTCTAATGACTGTATCTCAGCTCTACATAGATCTACGACTCTCAATCAGAGACGTCCATCGTTGCGCTACTGTAGATGCAAGTCAACCGCGGCAGCGGCACGCTCGCGTCGATAGTAGCGCAACGATGGACATCTATGCTCTCAATATTTTATCACAAATCTGTGGATTAGTGATGAGTCATTGCTACAATGTTCCGCTGCATTGATCGATTTCAGTTCAAACTATCGATTTCAAACTGAAAAAAAGGATTTTCTACTTGGTAGAATTTTTCAATGCGGACTTCGGATCTTCGCTACTTCCCACCAAAATTTTACTAGTGATGTCTGCATCCGTGGGCTTTTGAATGACGGGTTGCGAAAAAGTGAATGTCAAAAAATGATCGAAATGTGACCTTCGCAAGCTAATGACGATCTACAAGCGATATCTTCTGCAAACGTCAATCAATTGAGTGCATGGTGATCTTAGCGATCAGGATTCAATGAGGCCGACATTCCCGAACAAGATCAGTTCGAAATGATGTAATACAATATCACTTTGGGGGAATACCTACTTTTGTCCGCAACTGTATACAGAGGCCGCGCGAAGGGTCTAAGATTGGGGGGCGGGTGTAGTGGATTTTGAAAGGGTGTAAAAGTTTT